GTTGTAATATGTATATTTTTTTAAAACTTACTAAATAACGCTTTGTAAATAAATAATTTGTACAAAAAATGAAATGCTTTTTCCAGACCGTCTCTTCCATGAAAAAGAAAAATACAAAGCAATCTGCGATGATTTGGATTCAACATTTGCCGAACTTACTGGATATTAGCAAAATAACTCCAAACACAATACAAAAACACTACCATTTCCAATTAGAAAAAAGATATTATATTTATCCATACCAAATATATGTCTGTACCGATTTTTTATTTTTAATAATCAGTTATACACTTTCCAAACTATAGAGAAATGTTAACCCATAAAAAAACCTTTTCTATATCTGAATCTTTTCTGTATTCGAACACAATGTCAGAAACATATTGTAAAATTTTATTTATGCAATTTAAACTACTGCCCTGATCATACATTAACAAAACATTGGGACAGAGTAACTCAAGATATGTAAAATATATTTAATTTTTCCTCCCAATATGCACTTTATACGAATATTATACGAATTGTATATTTTAACAAACATCTACACTTAACACGAAAACCCTGTTAGAAGCAGCAATTGCATAAAATAGTAGTAGCAACAATTTTTATAAAAGATGTACATATGCGTTTATACATTGCAATTATAAGGTGACTTAAATAAGCTTTTTATATTGTGTGTGTAATATTATCGACTATTTTATAGTTTCCTATTAGTTGTTTCCCTAGAGCATGTTATGTTTTTTTTGTTATTATTACCATAAACTTATATTCGCTCAAACGAATCCACTCTATACTATACATATTACCTATCTATCTACTTTCTGAAGTTCATTTTGGTCGACATCCTTTTGTGATATAAAATAAAATATACAATATTCAGCTACTTCGCTCTAACTCTTAGAATTGAACATAGTAGTCTGTAAGTCTATTGGCAGTATAGGCGACATCGTTTTCTCATGCGACACTTCCCGTATATACAAATATACCGACAGATCAGAAAAGATTAGTTTGTAAAAGCGCTTAACTTATTAAATTGATTTTGATTAAAAAAAAAAACCCCGAACATTTGTACACATGTTTATCTTAACATTATTCAACTGAAACTAAATATTTGTTTTCAATATTTCATATTTAAACCTTAATACGCCTGCAGGAAGCTAATTACCTCTTCCAACAGTTCAATAGAAATATTGGTGAAGTATATACGAGTATGAAAGGAATAATATAACGAAAACATCTATAGGAAAACAGTATACAGCTATATGTATTGCACTCAACCCCTTAATGGAATTAGTACACTGCTGTATACTATAGTCCTATATGTAGTAAACTGAAGTCTGTCCTATTATTTCTTACTTAAACTATTGCAGTTAACTATTGATAACGATTAAGGTAATTTAAAATACGATAGGATAGTTTTAAATAAAATCTATAAAACATTCAATTTTTAAGTCAATCCCATTTCTATAATGCAACTTGAATGTTGCAATTCTCCTAACAATCTCTCTATATTATTAATTAATATTACAATTAATAATAAGTGTTAGTTAAGTTATAAAACAATTTTTATGTTTGAAAATGCAGTTTTTTTCTTATTTTAATTTTGTATTTTTAGTGCAGTTAGCCACATTTTATCCTTTTGATTTGTGTACTGTATTTTTTGAATTTCATTGATATATAAAAAATATAATAATTAATTATTTTAGTAAATGATGTTAAGATTTTTTTCAAATTCAGTACGACAAATCGTTCTTCAGAAGTTGTTGTCATGTATGTTGTTTGTGTGCACCAATTATATTATTTTCTTTTTCACAAATTAGCACCATTTTCTTTCTTTATTATTTGCAAAATATGTCTGATTTTTTACGTCTGATTTTAGAATTTATATATTTGTATATTTGTATATCTGTCATTTGTGTTTTACTGATTTTATTAGTATTGTAGTTTTATTTTTTTATTATTGCATTTAATCAGCACAAAAATTTTGCTTGCGTACTTAAAAATCTTGCAAAAACCAAATTAAGTGAAAAAATATAATTTTTATATAGATTTGTATTAATGCAGAAACTAATGAGCATTATATATATTTATACACAGATGAATTGGGCGTCAACAAGGACAGATACAAGTCCCTTGCCGACGAAATGGACTCCACATTCGCCGAATTGGCCGGTTATTAAATTTCGTATCTGAGCGACTACTTCTCTATATTATTATCAACAACAATAAAACCAACAACAAAGAATGTTGCACATGCTGCTACCTGCTGACTTGACCTGGGACCACCAAAGGAAGTAGCTCCGAAGGCATGCTTGATATTAAAAATATATTTAAAACAATTTAATAAATTTAAATACACTTTTTACTATTTGTAAAACTTTTTTAATTGAATAACTAAACAATCATAAAAAACTATAGAGTAGTAAAGAATTTATTATTTGGAAAAAAATCATTATAATTTTTTAAATTATTTATTAAAAAAACAAATGCAAATGAAATTTATACAATTTAAATAATTTTAACTCAAACATCAAAAACTAACAACGACAACAACAACAACAACGCTTATCATATCATATATTTATTATATTCAATAAGGGAAAGATAGATATACTATTTTTGTTTATTTTAATTATTTAAATACAGCAATGGACAACTAAAATTAAAAAAAACTATAATACAACAAAAATATAAAAAAATTATGATTTTTGTTTGGTAATACAGCAAATTTTATATTTACATATTTCTTAATCCAAAAGATAATAATTAGTTATGGGCTTTAACAATGCTTTCAATCCTAATGTTTTTAGAACACGGATAGAATGTCTTTTTAACGATTTAAGGAATTTTTATGACTATTCCCTAATTAGTATTTATCAAAACCTGACTACAAGATAATTTATAAAATATTTTGTTAGTACCATATTTATCACTTTCTTAGCTGAAAGGGAAACATTTCTCTATTCCACAGACCTAATATGGCTCGACTAGCTTCTAATTTCATTCAATTACACTTTTTCACAAGTTTATTATTTATTTTATTAGTATTAATAATAACTTTATTATTTTTTACAACTTTATTATTTTGTTATTTATTATTATTATTAAAAGTTTGTTTAACGATTTATGAAATGTATATTAGAAATTGTTGAATTTAAATATTAGTATTAGGAGTTTTTGGGAATTTTGGAAGAATTGTTCAAGGAGGTTGACGATATATTGATAGCGAACATGAATAAGTTCTACAGAATATGAATAGATAAAACAATGCTCAATGATTCGAGTGTCAATGCTCACTGTCCTATTCTAAGCAAAGATGACTCGGTTATTCGCCCCAACCATCGAGTAAGCAGCGTAGAATTTAGGTATCGTGTACAGCATCATTTAAAGAATACTAGGTGAGCTGTGTGAACACGTGACAACTTACTGACTGATCTTTACCAATGCGGCTTTAATCATGTTTTTTTCACAATATAGTAAATCTCTGAAACAAATCATCAACATACGCTATTTTTTTGTTGAATATATGTCAAGAAAAAAGATAACTTATATCAATGCACGCAACACGCAATGCCTGTTTCTTTCAGATTGGACCAGTTAGAAAAATCCAAAAACTCCAGAACATATCACCGACATTTACAAACAAAAAATGCTGTATAAAACAGCATTCAATAATTTTATAAGAAGTCACCTTTCTGCTACAACATCTGCATAATATATGAACCATATATATAGTATCTATGCAAAACCAATATACTCCTGCAGTATGCCCTTAAAAACTACTTGTTGCTTCATAAATAAAGAATGGAAATGATCATCCTTTGTTAATCAAATTTATGTCGATTAGTGTCGACTAGTGGCAAAAAGAGTTTCATTTCTGTAGCACCGCTCGGACTATGAAACGAAAAATTACGATTACTAATAGCTGATTCTATAGGCTAAAAAGGCAACTGGAATGTGCAACTCTCTAACGTTCGACAAAACTTCCACTTTGCAGGTCACTAGCCATATCTACGGTTCTATATAACGCAGACCTCTATGAGTGGCAATACCTAAACACGAAGTGTATGAGCTTTACTATGACGTTTCTAATGTTCAACAATTTCATACCTGGCGGC